TATTATTATACTTATTTTTATTAAAATAGTGGGGGATTGTTGGGATTTTTAATAAAAATAATATTTTATTAAATATTTTCTTTGACCAATTTATGAGGTCATTTAGAGCAATATTTTGAAACCACCAAAGACATTATTTTGTCTCATAAAACCTCAATATTTTTCTTTAATTCTATATTAAATATAGGTTTTATGGTGGTCATATTTTATACTATATAAAGGTGGCTTTGTAGCTTTGTAAAGGTATAAGAGTGAAGAGAAAAAGAAACACCTTTCATCTATACTACTTTGAGCTCTTGTTGTGTGTCGGGTGTAAGCTTCTACTTCACTCGAACGTGCAATTTCGGTGAAGTTACGGCGGAGAGATAGGCTGGGCTGTTGTATCCCATAGGCGACACGATCGGAACCTTTTTGCACCTCACTAGAGAAGGGGTCGTGAAATTCGTCTTAAGAGAGCGACCTAGTCCGCGCCTCACCTTGCCTATCTCCATATTATCGTGGCTTTTATTGCAGCAACTTGTTACCTATAAAATTGGAGAACAAATGGAGTCCAAGCCTCAATCCACAAGTTTCGTGATCAATCGTCAAAGTGCAGCCGTGGTTCCAACAATATTCAAATTGTGCTTTATCTTGATCTTTTCTCATCTTGAGCAACCAATCAGTTAACGAAAGCTCATTCGGCCAGTGAATCGTCCAAGAAACCCCACTCAAGGCCCACACCTGCCTTGCAAACGAGCACAGCGAAATACAATGCAAAACATCTTCGTCGCCTTCCCCACACAATTCACACGAACGAGACTCGAGAATTTTTCGCTTAACTAAATTCGACCGTGTAGGAAGAAGGTTTCTACAGCAACGCCAAAGAAATATTTTAATCTTGCTCGGTAAATTCAGATCCCACAACCACTTCCAGGGCTTAGAGGAAACTTGGGACAAGCTATTAGAAGAATCCGAACCCTCTCTCTCCAACTCCATTTGAACAGCAAGATGGTAAGCGCTCCGCACGGAGAATTCTCCGTTTTGATTAAAGTGCCAAATGATTGTATCTTCGTTGATGGGACTGCCCAGAGGGATAGATCAAATAATTTTAATATCCTCGGCGAAGAAAATAGATTCCAACACATGTATTTTAATATCCTCGGCGAACAAAGGAGTTCAATACTTATTTGATAGTGGAAAATAGATATGTATTTCCTGATGTAATTAAATGAATTCTTTTAAGAGTTTGGATTTAATTAATTATTAGTTGCCCGATTTATATTTTCTCCTATAGTCCCTATTGTAGCCCAGTGGATTTTCTAATTAATCGAGAAAATAAAGTTCAACCAATATTATATATTAGAATTAATATAGCCGAAAATTAAGTCCCCATTGGATTGCAATTTTCGACCATATAGAGTTATACAAGGAGTGGGATTTGTTTCCATGTAATCCTTTCTATGTGTGACTCTAATTCTTGTGCTATATATAATAGAGATTAGGTTGATGAGAATAATAATTATGAGTACACGCCTATTCACGTTCGAGAGAATAATTTTTTTCTCTTACTCTTTTCTCTCTAAGTTTTCTCGATTATAGTTTTAGATTTCTTCAAGTACAAGTCCACCATTGTAGAAGAATTATTAATCCGGGATATACAATAGAAGATTATAGGTTTTTAGAGCAAACTATAATTCCCGAAATTTCTGAGCAGTCCTGCGAGAAAATTTACCATAAATCAACCGTTCATCGGATATGCTTGAAATTTATATAGTAGTTTCCTAACCCATAGTATAGGTTTTTAGAGCAAACTATAATTCCGAAATTTCTGAGCAATCCTGCGAGAAAATTTACCATAAATCAACCTTTCATCGGATATGCTTGAAATTTATATAATAGTTTCCTAACCCATAGTATTATAATCTGTCTGAAAGGTTTCTCAATCAGATCAACCATCACGGAGATATTGGTGAAGGAAGATGGCTGGAAATTTCTGGACAGCAGTTTTTCGAGGATTGAAGGCCTTGTGTGTGGATCCTCATTCGTGCGCCGAAGATAGAAACGAATCTGCTCGTGAAAAATGTAAGTTGCTACATTAGATTTATTCCGCTTTAAACAAATCTAATCAAAGCATTTTAATAAAATTAAAACGGGCTAATCTAGAATCTCTTGCGAATTTTCATTGACTCTTGGGCTTCACATCCCAACAGTAGGTACTTCACTATTAATAACCGTTCATCGGATATGCTTGAAAATTATATAGTAGTTTCCTAACCCATAGTATTATAATCTGTCCGAAAGGTTTCTCAATCAGATCAACCATCATGGAGATATTGGTGAAGGACGATGGCTGGAAATTCCTGGACAATAGTTTTTCGAGGATTGAAGGCCTTGTGTGTGGATCCTCGTTCGTGCGCCGAAGATAGAAACGAATCTGCTCGTGAAAAATGTAAGTTGCTAGATTAGATTTATTCCGCTTTAAACAAATCTAATTTAAGCATTTTAATAAAATTAAAACCGGCTAATCTATAGAACCTCTTGCGAATTTTCATTGACCCTTGGGCTTCACATCCCAACAGTAGGTACTTCACTATTAATAGAGCGGCTTTGGCTTCAGCTGAGATGAGGTTCAAAGGTTGCCTTATACAAGTCGAAGACCATCCATCTTTAATTTAGCGAAATATTTTTTTAACACGTTGTTCTTGAGTTGGGGATCAGAAAAAAAAACTATTATTTAAACGAGATTATTAATTTGTCAAGGTTCGAACGTATTGAATATAACTTTTGCTGTTTTCTTAAAAAACAATATATTTATAAATAAAAGGGTAAATTACAACCACCCCTGAGGCATAGTCAAATTACGAAAAACCCCTCATGTTTGGGTAATTATAAACACCCCTCAACTATAAATCCTTCTGTTTGCACTTGTTTTTTTTCCCATTCGAGCTCTATATTTTGAAGAAAGATGATCATAAGATGTGTTTTTTGGTTTGTATATATGAGATTGTGGTGCATCATAAGCTGCATTTTTTTCACAAAACGAGAAACAAACTAGAGAACATTCCACGGAATGTAGAAGATTATGTTGAATTTGATATCATAAGAATGACGTGTAAGAAGATTCATAGTTAATGGGTAGTTGTAATTATCAAACATGAGTGGTTTTTTTGTAATTTGACCATACTTCATGGATTGTGGTAGACACGGCCACGGGCCGGTTTTGGGCCCGGAACCGGCCCGAACCGGCCCAAACCGGCCCGTTGACCGAGTGAACCGGCCCGGACCCGTGAACCGGCCCGTCCTACCCGGGACGGGCCCGGTTCTGAGAAATGGTGAACCGTGAACCGCCGGGCCGGCCCGGCGGTTCACCCGGATTTTTTTTTTTTTTTTAAAAAAAAAAATCGAAAAAAAAGCAAATAACGGCTAGTGAACCGGCCCGAACCGGCCCGGGTGAACCGGCCGTTATTTACTTTTTTTTGAATTTTTTTTCCCCCCACAATTTATTTCCTTTTCCTTTTTCTATTTAAAAGTACTTCTTTTAATTTATTTATTCATAAAATATTTCAAAAAATCATTTTAAATTCGAAATCTTTAAAATTTTGAATTTAAAATTAAGTTCAACTCTTTTCATTTATTTTCTTTTCCTTTTTATATTTAAAAGTACTTCTTTTAATTTACTTATTAATAAAATATTTAAAAAAATCATTTTAAATTCGAAATCTTTAAAATTTTGAATTTAAAATTAAGTTCAAGTCTTTTCATTTATTTCCTTTTCCTTTTTCTATTTAAAAGTACTTCTTTTAATTTACTTATTCATAAAATATTTCAAAAAAAATAAAAAAAAAAAAAATAAAATAAAAAAATTCAAAATTTCCGGGCCGACCCGGAACCAGCTCGAACCGGCGGGCCGACCCGGCCCGCTGAACCGCCCATACTACGGGCCGGTTCCGGTTCCGGAAAATGTGAACCGTGAACCGGTTTGAACCGGCCCGGAACCGGCCCGTGGCCGTGTCTAGATTGTGGTAATTTATCCTATTTTTATACCGTATCAATTATTATATTAAAGGTAAATTACAACCACCCCCTGAGTTATGGTCAAGTTACGAAAAAACTCCTCTTGCTTGGATAATTACATCTACCCATCAACTATGATTTTTTCTTACACCTCCACCCTTATCGTGTCAAATTCAACATAATCATCTAGGTTTCGTGGAATGTGCTCTAGTTTGTACTCGTTTAGTATAAAAATACAGTTTCTGATGCACCACAATCTGATATATACAAGCCACAAAACACATATTATGATCATCTTACTTTAAAATGTAGAGTTCGAATTGGATAAAGCGGATACAAAAGTAATAATATTAATATAATCTCGAAAATTCTACTAAATTTGAAATCGCAAGGATGGACGTGTAAAAAGATTTATAGTTGACGGGTGTTTGTAATTACCCAAACAAGAAAGAAATTTTTATAATTTGACCATAAATCAGGGGTTGGTTGTAATACACCCTTATATTAATAATATATTTTTTCCAAGTTTTAAAATCACAAATAATAATAATTATTTAAAGGGTAAATTACACCCACACCCCTGAGGTATGCTTAAATAACTTTAAGATCATTGTAGTATCGATAATTACACTCACCCCCTTGAAAGGTAGTTAAAAAACTCTAACGGAATAATGCATTGGATACATTATTCCGATATGGTTCTAATGGACTATTACTTTTAGCTAGTGGTGGAGATAACATAGAGTTAAGGGGAGTTATAGGGTGACATGACTCCCTCAATATTTCTTAAATCACCCATAACTCTTTATTGTCTTCACCACTTCCTGAAACCAATAGTCCGTTAGAACTCTATCGTAATAACGTATCCAATGCATTATACCACTAGAGTTTATAACTACGTTTCAAGGGGGTGAGTGTAATTATCGATACCACAGGGACCTTAAAGTTATTTATGTATACCTCAGGGGTGTGGGTGTAATTTACCCTTATTTAAAATTTGAAAGAGTGTTATTGAACTGATTAATTATGGACTAAAAACGAAATTTGCCCTCGACTAAACTTCACAATCAACAATGGAGTCACTAATCCTGCAGCTGCACGACATCGCCGCCGTGAAATTCGGGAACTTCAAGCTGAAATCCGGCATCTCCTCTCCGATGTACATCGACCTCCGCCTCGCCGTCTCGTACCCATCCCTCCTCCGCCAAATCTCCCACGCCATCGTCGCCACCCTCCCTCCCTCCGCCCGATACGACGTCGTCTGCGGGGTCCCTTACACCGCCCTCCCCATCGCCACCTGCTTCTCCGTCTCCTCCGGTACTCCGATGGTCATGCGCCGCAAGGAGGTCAAGGACTACGGCACATTGAAAGCCATCGAAGGTGCGTTCGAGCGGAATCAGATCTGCCTGATTATCGAAGATCTCGTTACCAGCGGCGCCTCCGTGCTCGAGACGGCGGCGCCGCTTCGTGCCGCCGGGCTGGAAGTTACCGATGCGGTTGTCATGATTGATAGGTGAAATATGAAGTAGTAGTAGTTGATGTGCTTACTTTTAATACATTTCTTACTTGCACTATCAAATCATGTTTGAAGGAAAAAAATATTTTTTTCTAATTGTTTTCGGCATTTTTTTTTTTTCCGAAAGTGCTTAACAAAATTACAGTGAGAAAAGCAATGAAAACCGTACCTAGGGGTGCAAGTTGGAACGGAAATTTCAATTTCCGCCGGTTCCAATCTGAAAAGTTCCGATTTTGGATTTTTTTTTCATTACAACTTCTGAAATTCCGATTTCCGAATTTTTCTGATTTTTTTGGATACCCGAATAAATTTCCGAAATTATTCCGAAAAAATTCTGATTTTTTTTTTTCCCAAAAAATACACCTATAAATAATATATATTATATAATACTAATTTTAAGTTTCCTTTTGTTTTCTGAAATAGTAATTTGATTTAAGTTTTGTTTTAGGATTTTGACATATTGAATTGTTGTTAGAAGTTCTATTGGGTCTTACGATGTGTTTATTTTTTTTAACGGAAATTTAGTAGTTATTAGTGTTACTTTTATCGACGTGGATGTTCTTATTTTTGGAATATTATGAAATTTTTAGAAAATTTCCGCTATGTTTTGAAACTTCAAAACTTATGTGCTTTCCAATTTTTTTCCGAAATTCTGAAATTTCTGAGCATTTTGGAATTGGAATGAATTTTTAGATTTAGAAAATTTTGGAATTGGAATTGATTTTGTACTTCCGATGTTTTTTGGAAATTCTCCAAGAAGTCTAATTCTGATCCGATCCAATCCATCCAACTTTCACCCTTAACTGTACCAAACATTGCTTGTCACTATTTATTTAATTTATACTATTTATTTTTTCGCTGTACGTGTTCTTGAATTGGTAAACATTTTATCTGTAGCGAAAGAAATCGGATATAGATACTTATAATGGTCGGATTGTAATGCGTGTAAACAAGTTTATTACTATATTGTTGATACATACCTTCTTGCATTAGAATATTTATATATGCAGTTTTCATTGTGCTTATGAATGTGCGTTCGACTTGCTAAATTATTCAGCTTGGTTTTATTTCTGTTTCTACATACTTATGTACTCGTATTATAGCCTTATTGTAATGATTATATTATCACTTCTTCATTTTTTCTTACTAACTGTTCGATCGAAGGATAGGGAACAGGGAGGAAGGGAGAATTTGGCAGAAAATGGGATAAAATTGCACTCAATGGTGAAGCTGAGTGAAATGGTGAGCATATTGAAGAAGAAGGGGAAAGTTTCAACGGAATCCGAGAAAATGGTTACGAAATTCTTGGAGGAGAATCAAAAGATTCCTGCACCAGTGATGAGAGCACCACCTAAGAAGGCTCGATTTAGACTCCCCTACGAAGAGAGGGCAAATATGGTAAAGAATCCAACCGGAAAGAAATTGTTTGAGATAATGGCGCAGAAGCAGACAAATTTGTGCGTCGCTGCTGATGTGGCGACTGTCGCTGAGCTGCTCGACATAGCCGACAAGGTGAGGATTAAAAAAATATGTTCGTTTTTTTGGTTTTATGTTTATAGTTCAATGAGACGGCTCGTATTTAATTTTTCCTTGACCACGTTTTTTTTTTGGATGATAATGCAGGTTGGACCCGAGATATGCATGTTGAAAACCCATGTGGATATATTGACCGATTTCGCCCCTGATTTTGGATCTAAACTTCGATCGGTATATCCTATTTTCCTAAGCTTCGTTGCTGTCTTAGAATACTTATGAATACCTAAGCGAGTGATATATACTCTTGTAAAATTCTTCTACGTTTCGACACGTGATGCGAGTTTTATGCGAGTCGTCATGAGTAAACTCGTGAAGGGGAATATTTTATACATAATAAAGTACCGTCTAGGAACAACGCTCTTTTTATTTTACGAGCCCCGATCCTAAGATATTTCTTGATACATAATGACAGAAAATTGATCGTTTGGCGTGATGTAGATCTTGTCGTGACTAATTTTGCTTACCCATTCAAGATTGCAGAGAAACACAATTTCTTGATTTTCGAAGACCGCAAATTTGCCGACATTGGTAATACAGTCACCATGCAGTATGAAGGGTTAGATTCTTTTCTCACTTTGCATTTCATACACAAGATTCCTTCGTCGCTTTCCTTGAGAATACTCGTTTAATTCTACGCAGAGGGATCTACCATATATTGGAATGGGCAGATATAACAAACGCTCATATAATTTCTGGTCCGGGAATAGTGGACGGTCTAAAACTCAAGGTGTGAATTTGATAATTTTTTGAAAAAATTATCAAATTATATGTTTGTAAAAATTATTCAGTCTCTTAATTTTTCGAATTTTACGTTGCGATAGGGTTTACCTCAGGGCAGAGGTTTGTTTCTGCTCGCCGAAATGAGTTCGTCTGGCAGTTTTGCAAAGGGTGACTACACGGCTGCAGCTGTGAAAATTGCTGAAGAAAATTCGGATTTTGTTATCGGCTTTATATCTGTGAATCCTGCTTCGTGGCATGGAGGGGTAAATCCGTCATTTATTCATGCAACCCCTGGTGTTCAAATGGTGATAGGCGGAGATGCTTTGGGTCAACAATATAACACTCCAAATTCTGTAAGTATTGCATTTTTGTTTTATTTACATTATTGTGTCATGCTCTTCTTTGGTTTATCTTAAATAAAGAATAATTTAAAGGTAAACTACGGCCACCTTTGAGGTAAGGTCGAATTACGAAAGAATCCCTCATGTTTGGGTAATTACAATCACTCTCTCAACTATGAATATTCTTTACACGTCCACCCTTATAGTGTCAAATTCAACATAATCGTCTATATCCTTTAATCGTCTAGATCCTGGGGAATTTTTCTCAAGTTTGTACTCGTTTTGTGTAAAAAACAGTTTCTGATGCAACAACACAATCTGATATTTGCAAGCCAATATACACATATTATGATTATATTGTTTCAAAATGTGGAGCTCGAATGGAGTAAAACGGGTACAAACTGGAGAATATTCCACATAATATAGAAGATTTCACTAAATTTGACACCACAAAAGTGGATGTGTACGAAGATTCACAGTTGAGGGGTGGTTATAATTAGAGTAAACTGCAAAAAGTACCCCTGTGTAATCTCTAAATAGCGAAAACCGCCCTATAATAAATAAACTAGCAAAAAACCCCCTGTGAAATTATTTAAATAGAAATTATTTAAATAGCACACTCGGCCCATTTATCATTTGAGTGTTGACTTCATAAGACGCAAATACCCCCGGGATTTTGCAATTAATAAATTCTTTTATTTTTAAAATATTTTAATTATTTTATTTTTGTTATATCTTAATTATAAAGGTACAATGGGGTCTTTAATTTATTTTTATTTTTATTATCACATAATTTTTGTATATATTTTAAATTATTGCTACATCAAAAGAAAATTTAAATTTATATTTAAATTTGATAACAAATTTTTAATAATTTTTAAATTTAATTATTTACTAGTTTTTAACAATATTTTAATTTCTAAACAATCGAATTAAAAGGAAAATATATATACATATAATATATATACATATAAATACATTTTTATGGTCAATTTCGTCATTTCACGTCCAAAAACCTACTACCAGTCAAACGCGAGTGAGCCACACTTAAGTCAAACCGGGGGGTTTTTGCTAGTTTATTTATCACAGGGGTTTTTTTGCTATTTGGAGATTACACATGGGTACTTTTTGCAGTTTATTCGTTATAATTACCCAAACATGAGGGATTTTTTTCGTAATTTGACCTTACCTCAGGGGAGTGACAGTAATTCACCCTTAAACATATGCTACTTTTTTTTTTTTTTTTTTTCTGTTTAATTTATAAATATGGGCATTCAGCATTTAAATTTCTTTGCATTTTTGTCGACTCACGACCTGGTCTGAAAAGCCGACCAACATCTTAGCTTCTTGTAAAATTGATATTTGTCGTATTTAAATTTAGCAATTTCATCACCAATAGCACCACTTTTTTTTTTTTTATTCTTAGCCTTATTAAAACGTACGGTTTCAGGTAATATCAGACAGAGGTAGTGACATCATCATAGTCGGCCGTGGAATTATTAAGGCAGCAAACCCTGCAGAGGCAGCTCGGCATTATCGGCTTCAAGGATGGGATGCATATTTGGACAGCTGCAAGTAGAGGTTCATATGTAACCAATCATACATATTTTCTTCAAATTTTAATTAGTTTATGATATAAGAACTTTTTTTTTTTTTTTTTTTTTGACTTATTGAATAGAAAGAATGTAGACTATGGGGATATTAACATAACATAAACTACTAGATTTGAATTGTTAATGTTTGAATGAATGAATGATATTAAGAAAACAACGAACCTAGTTTGCAATCGATAAAGTCGATTGCTAAGCTTATACTCAATCCATTGCATTTGGATCTCTAATAATTTTGTATATTTATCGGACTTGGCACGCAACATAACTAAACAATTTGTGTCAGTACAATAATACTCGGTATATCACAACAATCGGAATGACAAATATAACCCTCTATTTCGTAACATTAATTATTAAAAAAAAACGCGTTTTATATGATATCTCAATCGAGACGACTTTGTTTGATCAAGAGGAAGACAGCAAGTACAACAGGAGCAAAAATCATAAACAAGGCCTGGGCAAGATTTGGCTGTGTTATTTCTGGATATATAATGCTTCCATATTTTATTACTGCTGCACCTGCAATTGAACCTCCCCCTAATTTCACCAAATAGCTTACATCCTCCTGTACAAAAATTAAAATTAAAATTACCAATTTATTTATTTTTATTTCATTCTTTCAATTGTAATTTTATATGTTCGCAGTATGATATTTTGTTAGTTATTAATTCCGATAATCTTAAGCTCTTAAAACAGCTTATCAAATCAGCCAAACGCCCTCTTAGAAAGAAGTATAGATCTATTGGTCAACCAACATGACCATTTACGTGATTATGTGATGTACATTTTCAAAAAAAAAAATCTCGAGTTGCCTCGGAAGCCTAAACAAGAGCTCGAGCTCGAGATCCAACTATAATTCATTTCCGATTGTTTAACGGTTTACGAGTTGGCTCGAGAGTTTTTTTTTTTCTTCCTCTGAATGTTGGCATATTTAGGGATTTATTACTCCAACTTGTCATGTTTCAATCTTACACGAAATAACTTTGCAAATATAGTACTTTTAGTCTTATTTTGTATCAATTTTTCAATTTATGACGCGACAAATAAACTTGATGGATTTTACTTACATGGACGTTTAAAAATTACAAATTCGACAAGCTTGATAGAATTTCATTATGTGAGACGACGAACTTATAAACCAGGTTAGAGGATCAACTATAAGTTTCAAGCGTCTCTATAAATAAACTAACATCGTTAAACAAACGGGTAAAATTCATAGTTTGGGTAAAATATGACAAGAAATGTTTATTTAGGACAACTTAAAGGACTAAATCCTTAATCATTGTAAACAGAATTTTCAAAAACTATTATTTAAGAGAGGTTATTAATTTATCGAATATTAATTTATTGAGGTTATACTGTACATGAATAAATTTCGACGAGTTTGTTAGCTACATCGTTAAACAAACGGTAAAATTCACAGTTCGGATAGAATATGACCAAAACCAATATATACAAATGATTAAATTAAATATTTCAATAATTAAACATAATAATTATAAAAATTCCAAAAGCTTTTAATGATCTTTACCTGAGAAACAAGTGGCGCCTTGTCATTGGCGGAATCGGGGTTGGAAGAAGCCCGCACCAGAGATATTCTCTTAGACGACGTCGTTCCGGGATGAATATGAATTTCAGATTTAGGCAGAAACGGATAAGTGGTTTGGCGGGAAATTGAAACCGAAGAACAATTTGTTGAAAATAGCAATGGTGTGGCGGCGGCCATTGATTTAATTATCCACGAGCTTTTGTTGAAGATGTGGATTTTCTTCACTCAGTCAAAACTAGAAGGAGATGAGGAGAAAGAACACGTGGATAAATGTGATTGGTTGTTTTTGTGCTCAAGGCCCATAGGCCTTCGATATATGCTTTTGGGCCATTTAAACTCAATTTGATTAATCAATTTCGGTTGTTTTTTTTGCAAAAGGAGAATCTTGCACCAATAAAAAGGCGAATCCCTCGCCCCCAGGGCCCCCATCCCTTGGCCCGACAAGGATTGATGGAGGATGTAAATCATGGTAACTCAACGGCCCGTTAAGGTAGCGGACCCGGACCTGGTGCCCACAAGGAACCAACCCTCATTTGGAGTTGAAATTCCCACACTGCGGCTGCCAGGATTCGATCCTAGGACCTTGCACCAACTTACCACCTCCGGAACCAGTTGAGCTACACCCATGCGGGCGCAAAAGGAGAATCTGCAACCACTCGAAGTATACTTGGTTCTTTTTCAAAAAAAAAAAAAAAATACACTTGATAATACGTAAACTTTACTTAGGGGAGGGAGAGCAAAAATACGGAAAACTGGCATCGAAAACTGAAAAAATCGAGGTGATATGAACCGTCCCGACTTAAAAACTGCATGTGTGGTAAAAAAATCCTTAGAGATGTTTCCATATTTGAATTTTCAGAGGGTTATTTACTTGTTAATTCTCAAACAAATGGGTTGAAAACCCAAAATGCACAGTTCATCAAATATCGATTTTATGTCAAAAATAAATCGAATTGATGCCGAAACCGTAGAAACAGAAAACTGAAAAACCAATTAGCACAGAAGCAAAAAACCCCGGCATATTTGGTTTTTTAAATCTGAAAAACCATAATTATCGCTACGAGTTTGATTTTTCTCAAAAACCAACCCGTGCACACCACTAACTCTATCCTTGTGTAATAACTCGTTTATTCTATAGATGATGTAAACTAGACTAGTCTAACTATATTTGACGAGTTTTACCTAAAAGAATATTTACAGTATGGTTTGAGTTTTGAATTCTATCAAATAACATTGCGTTCTCTTGCGCCAACAACTAATTCACTCTTTGCGGAGAGTTATAAACTTCTTTTTTTTTTTCTTTGATAACCCTGATGTCCGAGTTTGACCAGACTAATTATGAGAGTAAACGGCCTTCACCCTGATTCGTCTATTAGGTAAATCAGGATAAATCATTTGGAGCGGACTTTCGTGGTCAAAGCAACCACGACCCCTTGGCTTTGCCATGTCCATGGGGCAATTTAGAGGGTGTTTGGCTAAGCTTATAAAATGTTAAAAGGAGCTTATAAGATGTTTTAGAGCTTATAAGCTCTTCCAAAGTGTTTGGTCAATTTTTAGAAAAAGATCTTAATTTTTTTTTAAATAAGTTGTTGGAGAGCAAATAAGATCTTTTTAAATAAGTACCTCTACCCCACCTTTTTATTTAAGATCTTTAAATGTGTAAAAATAGGAAATAAGTCCATTATCCAAACACTCTAAAAAGTAATCTTAAAAATAAGATGTAACAGCTTATCAGATCTTAAAACACCTTATTAGACGTAAGATCTTAGCAGCTGTTTAAAATAAGCTTAGCCAAACACCCTCTTAATGTATTGTAAATAAACTTCTTATGAATATTAGAGTTGTGGTCTTGGCCTAAATTTAATAGAGGTGAATCTTTAAAATGTATTTAATTTTTAATTTTTCAATACTAACCTTCATTTTTTTTAATTCAATAATAACCATAATTTTTTTTAATTTTCCAATACTAACCTCAATTTTGTAATTTTTCAATACTAACCTCAATTGTTTTGTAATTTTTTAATACTAATCTTAATTTTGTAATTTTTCAATAATAACCTTAATTTTGTAATTTTTCAATACTACCCTTAATTTGGTAATTTTCGAAACTAACCATCTTGTTGGGCCAAATTGGATCCCTAAAACCTGGTTGAGGGATCACATGGTAATTATGATTTTATTTTTAACTCCACGCGCCGCACGTGCGCGTCCGAATAACAGAACTGGCAAGTACAATTCACATGTCCGGTTATTTCCGACCACCAAAAACAAATGACAAAACAAAAACAAAAAAAAAAAAAACAAAAAAGTTTTTCACCAACTTCCCCCAAATCTTCTGATTTTCAATATTATCCATCTTCTTGACTTTTCTTTTTTTTCTTTTTTTCGTTCATCATATAAAATAATTCTTTGTTACTATAATAAATCCAATAAAATTATATTTAAAAAAAAAAAAATTCCTTCAAAAGCTGACAAAATCCCAATTCGGGAAGAGCAATTTATCCATGCAACTAATTGATGTAAAGCTTTTGAGATGTTTCGATGAATCTCAATTTTTTTCTCATCTGGACCGTACTTCAAGAACCCACCTTTGTATCATCATGTAAGAATGATTTTTTATGGCTTTTGTTTTCTTCCTTCTATATTTGTTTGATTTTTTTTATTTTTTTTAATAATGCAGAAAAATAAATAAAAGGGTGATGAAATGGTTTGTTTAAGATCATAAGGTTGTTTCTTGATCTTGGGGGGCCTTGAATTTCCGAGGCTAAAAATGTCTATTCAACAAGGAAATGCTGCAGAAACTAAAGATGTTCCAGGTATTTTTCTTTTTTAATTATTATTTTTTTTTTTAATTATTATTATTGTTTTTCTTTTTTTGTGCCTTTTGGGGTTTGGAGATTCTTGTTGTTTTGATGTTGAAATGTTGAATTAATTGATTTTTTTTTTCTTACATAAATAATTATCAGCCCAAAACCTAATTTGCATGAAAGGGAATGATAGAAATTTATGTATTGTTGGAAGTTGAATTTTTCGTGTTCTTACAATGTTTATATACAGCAGAACCTCGATATAAACTCGTTTGAATAATATGTTTTTTCGGTCCCGACACGAAGGCAGCGTGCTAAAGAATATTTCGTCAAATTAATATTTCGCTAAATTAATAGAATTTGGCTGGTCCCGACTCTATTAATTCATAGAGGTTTAACTGTACGTGGAATGTGGGACCCACATCGAGTTAGCTTTTGGAGACGAGTTCTAACCAAACCCATTAGATATCGGGATTTGTTTTGAAATATTGGTTTATATAGTACAACATTGAACCACTTTCTAGGCGAAGCTTTCACAAAACTACGATGATTTATGTACTATTTTAAGGAAATTAATATATGCGTAAACTGAACCAGGTTCGAGTTTATACGACCTCTTGCGAATGGAGAAATCTTCGAAATGGAGTCAGTGCTCAAGGGAATTGAAACATTCTTCCTCTTCCAGTAAGTAAATATATATTTATGTATTATCAACAAAGATTGCATTTTTAATTCTTGATGTTTTTATATGCAATTGCAACAAATTTCTTTATTATTTTGTTCTCGTGCTTTATGTGAATGAGGTCCAAGAGGGAGGCTCGAGAGTCTGTTATCGGAATCCGGGAATCGAGTTTGCGCTGATTGCGGATCACCCGATCCAAAATGGGTGTAAGTCTTTTATATTGTTCCTTAATTTAAAATTTTTATTTAATTTTTGGGTAAATTACGGTCACCCCCTGAGGTAAGGTCAAATTACAAAAAAAGTTTCTCATGTTTTGGTAATTACAATCACTCCTCTACTATGAATCTTCTTACACGTCCACACTTATGGTGTGAAATACAACATAATCTTCTAGTATTCATGGAATGATCTCTATTTTGTACTCGTTTTGTGCAAAAATACAGTTTCTGATGCACTACAATCTGATGTTTACAAGTCTAAGAAACACATCTTATGATCATCTTGTTTCAAAATGACAAAATGTGGAGCTCGAATGGGGTAAAACGGGTACAAACTGGAGAATATTCCACATAATCTGAAAGATTCCACTAAATTTGACACCGAAATGGTGGACATGTAAGAAAATTCATAGTTGAGGGGTGATTGTAATTACCAAAACATGAGGGTTTTTTTTCGTAATTTGACCTTACCTTAGGGGGTGGCCGTAATTTATCCTTATTTTTTTCCCCTTCTTGTAATGGTTGTTTAATAACGGGACGATTAGTAACTTTTATTTCAATACTCGGTGACCAGATCTTTGAGCATCGGGGCTTTCATTTGTATAAAATGCTCCGGAGTACATAGAAGCTTAGGAGTGCATATATCGAAGGTGTGCAACTTTTTAATTCGAGCCCGATTTATTTATTTATTTATTTTTGTAATCTAATTGATGATTTATTCTTTGTAGTAATTTTTTTTTTAACGAATGTAGGTCTACTCGGTGAAGCTCGATGAATGGACGAATGATCAAGTAGATGCTTTAATAGAAATGGGTGGAAACGTTGCAGTCAACTTGAAATACGAAGCTCGTATTCCCGACCATTATAGAAAACCAAGACCCGACTCTTCCGCAGAGGAGCGCACCGATTTTATAAGGTAGTTAAAAAAAATTATCCTCGCATGATTTGAACTAGGGGTGGAAATCGGAGCGGGTTTCCTCCGATTCCTATCCGAAAATTTCCTATGTTGGAACAATGTTTTTCGTGCCGAATTCCAGAAGTTTCAATTTTCAATGTTTCCGATTTTTTCTTTTGGAACGGAATTGGAATATAAGTTAGATTCCAATTTTCGATCCAATTTTAATTTCCGGAAATATTTCTGAAAATTTCTACTTTTTCCAAAAATTACACTTATAAGAGCAATAATTTTATGTATTTTGCAATAATATATATGTGGCAAAAAAAATTGAATTTTCGAATTCGGACGATTCCAATTCGAAAGTTTCTGATTTTGGAACAAGTTTTTCCATTTCAATTTTCCAAATAACGATTTTCGGTTTTTTTTGGAACGGAACTGAAATTAGTTTTCCACTTCCAGATTTTTTTTGGAAATTTTCCGAAATGGCTAATTCCGATCCGTCCAATTTCAACCCCTAATTTGAACAATAACAAAATGTCTTCACCGAAATATAGACAAACAATACTTTAATTTTCAAATTCTTCGTATAAAAAAAAT